ACGTAGGAAGTCTTGGGGCCTATGTATAGCTAGGTATTGGCCTCTAGACTATTGCTAGTGATTTTGAAGCCATGGTGAGTCATTCTCGCTGAGTTTTGAGGCGTTTTGTACGCGGATCACGTGAGATTTCACTCGCGTCATCCCTATATAGAGCGTCTACCGACGCTCTGATAGTGCTGATTTGTAGACATGTGCACTCACTGATACCTATAGTTAGTGAGGTTGAGACTACGGAATAAGTCCAGTGTGCAAACAAGATAATTCTACAGCAGGCAGCAGTGCCCCTAGTGCACCCCCTCTGTCCCATAGTTTCCATCGCTTATGCTAATCACTGTACTGACTTTTCCACATACAGTTCTCTTAGCAGGTACTTTTCAGCTGCTAAATAGATGCATGTGTGTTTTTACCTTTAGACAGTTCCACATAAATGGTATCTCTCACAGAAGTATCTGTATTTTCATGGATTCTTGCTGTTGGAATTTTGCAACGATAAACACCAGATGGCAAGATACCTTCACGGCGATGCAGTTTTACTGCTTGAGCATCACGACTTTCGTAAATTCCTCCAGATGTTGGGACAATGGAGTCATTTGGAAAGTACCAGTCTCCTCGATGAGCACCTTGTGAGGGGATGCAGCACGTGCTCAAGTCAGTGTGACACTTGAGAGTCTCATTCTCGTCATCCCCCAATCTACTATGGTTGATAGTGGAATGGTTGGCCAGAGTCTGTCCCATGAATGTCACACAGGGATAGCTCTTACACTGCACCTCACAATTCACCTCCAAAAGAGGTGTAAAGAAAGTCACTAGCAGCAAAACCCTTCTCATTATCCACCGAGCTTAAAATTTCTGAGTACTCAATGCTCTGCAACTGTGATAATCTGTGCTTTTGTGGCGATATGTATGGTTTGTGTAAGGAGGAAGTACAGGCTACTTTCAGTAGCACAATGGTGTTGTGCACTAAACATAGCTCCTGCTTCTCATCTCATACCAGGATAGAAAAACAAGAGATCTGGTAATGTTTGCGCCGCCATAGAGAGATGAGAGTTGTGTGTGTCAAATGTTCAGAACTGGGGTATAAAATGGTGTACAGTTGAGAGTCAAATGTATATATCACAGTGTCAAACGAGGTCTAGTTTAGAATGAGTTCAGTGTCAAAAGACGTTCAGTTCAGAATGAAAAACACAATATGAATGTAATCACGTGGAGTTGTCACACTGACATCTCTCTCCAAAGCTGCCCACTATCTGAAAAACACCACCTACGGTGTCCTGCATGAAAAACATACCACAGTCTAATATGTGTACGACATGTGCATTTAGTTTTGGCACTAATCACCCGCCATAGCAGACAGATGAACAGAACTGATTAGCTACTGACTGCTGGGTGTATCACCATGTGGAAATGGCACTGTAGGTATAAGAAACGAGCACTAGCTACCTAGGGCAACTCTTTTGTCCAAGGAGATGTTTGGTTTGTGTTTGCTTTGCCTTGACCTCGTTGATGACACATGCATTCAGAGCACTCTTCTGTATTTCTTCTGAGCTTTGTTCATATATGAAGAGGAAACACACAGTCTATTCGTGCATTGACTAAAACTAAATATGCCAGCATTGATAACAAGGTAACATTGAAAACTGTTTTTGTCATACAGTGAGCTTTGTAAAACTACAATTCCGTCGGCATAGTGTTTCGACATAGCTTTAGATTGGTTTATCCACCACCAATACTGCATGGATCGTGTTACCATCTAGGTAAAAAATTTCCAGCAGTGCTCTAATTTTGGCACCACCAAGCAGTTCTACTTACAGCATTGTGGAAGATCTTTGGGGCAAAAAGACTAAATCTGGCCCCATACACCCACGGTAGTACTAACAGTGAAGGCCAGGATTTTTGAGGGCCGCTAGAGCCGATGTCTGGATTTTTATCAGACGAGTGCGCCTAGCCTAGAGGTGAGTCCTGCGCATGCCGACAGCACTTTCTGCGCATGATATTATAGCCCCACCCACATTTCCACGGAAACCGGAGCCATGCCAAAGAAGGGAAAGAAATCGGACAAGAAAGGCAAGGGAAAGAAAGGGGGAAATGACGAGGAGGAGAAAGAGGTGGAAAAGAAACCGTTCGAGGCTCCAGACAGCACCAACAAGGAGCTGGAACTGCAGAAAGAGTCAGTTAGCTACCTACTCCGCTAGTGTTGTAGTGATGTGTTGACGTTCTTTAGGCTGGGTGAGCTTGACACGGAGCTAGACACTCTGAAAAAGCAGGTCAAAGAGCTGTATCCTCACTCACTGTATACCACTGCGAAGTACACATTAGTTCTCTAGCTATATAGCTCCCATGATGGTGCGAGTGTTTATCGCTGACCCAGGGGACAACTACAGTAGCTATAGTTACTATAGTTTTCCTGAGCTACTCTGTGGACAGGAGGGAAGAGAATGAGTGGCTACAGGAGGAGGCTGAGAAGACAAAGCTAGAGAGTGTGAGTCGAACGGCCTTTGATTACTGCATCAGTAGTAATGTGGGTAGTGTGGAATGTTTCGCTGCAGCAAGACTACCAGACGTATGTCTCCCGGAAAGCCAAGAAGCGTGAGGATCTCGTGACGTCTCTGACAGAGTACCACCAGCAAGAGCTGCAGAAGATCCAGGCAGAGAGAGAGGCCCTCATCAAGAAGTTTGAGGAAAAGAAAACTAGTAGGTGCCAGAGTGAATATTCCCTATGGTTGAATATATCTCTGTTGTTCAGATTTGAGCATGGTTTTGCTGGAGAAGGAGCAAGAGTTATCTCGAGTGGAGGGAGAGCTAGAGAAACTTCAGCCTTTCAAGGTAAATACACTAGCATGCATCGACCCCTTTTGGCTACTACACCTCTCTACAGCCTTGTGACTTTGTGTGGTGTGTGTCTGTCTAATGCAGGAGCAACAGGTTCGCCAGGAGCAGGAGATAAGTTCCCTGGAGAGAGAGCTGGAGGAGGCGAGGTTCTGCCACGAGAACTACGTGAGGCAGCTCAAGACTCAGTTCCTGCAGGAGAGGAGAGCCTACGATGCTCAGATGGCCACCCGGGTCAGAGTCATGACCCAGAGAGCCAGCCAGGTCTGATACACCCCACACTCTGCACTACATCATGTGATGGTACTAGGTTTTTGCAGGAAGATCTGTGCAGTGGTATTATAGCTATATAAGCACACCCATGTACCTTGTATCTAGCTTTTGTTTTCCTAAAAAGCCGCTCTTGCATGCAATAAATCCCTGATATAGAGCACCTCACTAACACAGACACTTTTTCTAAGAAGGGTTCCCCTCAATCTGCAGTATATACCAAACTTCATTTTTCATATTGTCCAGTTGTATAGGTTGTTCACAACAACTACCAGGATCATAACTACAGATGTGTTTTTTCAATAAAAGTGATGCATGGCACTCCTCCATTCTTTTCTTCAAACACACACACACAATGCTATACTTCACCCGCAATAGCTGCACACACTAGTACATTAGTGAGTGTATTATGCTACCTCCGAATAAAGGACCCTTTCAATGTCCCCAAAGTGTCCCTACATGTATTATGGTTTGACATCACCTGGTTTAGTATGCTTCACAGACACAGTTTTTCACCATCATCTCTCTCTCTCTCTCTCTCTTCTCTCCTCCCATGCACCAGCAAGCTTCAAAGTGTCTGGAAGAGCACACGGTGAAGATCCGCTCAGAGAACAAGCAGCTGCGAGCGGAGCTGAAGCAGCTCATCGAAACCACCAACGACCTGCAGCTCCAGAAGAAACGACTCTCCCGACAGTACAACACTCTATTAAGAGAGCACCAGCTGAACCAAGACTTGCAGAGACTGAGTGTGTATGGTACTACTAGGTCAACGGGGTGGGGGAGAGGGAATGAGGGAGGGAGGAACGGTAGAACATTGCCTGAAATATCCTCTCCACACACTTCCTCTGTCCTGCAGTAGATGGTTTTTTATGCATAGTTTCGCAACATGTGACTTGCGGTACAGCGGGAAACACACATCAGCTGTCATGAGCTCCACCAGTGAAAATAATTTTGGGTGGGTTAGTATGCTGGTGCATGGCCAGCAATTCGTAAAAGTATTCTCCATGAAATTTTGCTGCTGAAACACTATTTTTTCTCCCCCATGAGCTATAAAGCTGCCACTCCCACTTATGCAAGGACTTTCTTGCCCGACTGAATATAATAAGTGGCGCATTGACTTGCTAATAATTATTGTTACACACAAAAAAACTACATGTAATCTAGCATATACACAGCACACAAAATGTGGAGAAAAAAAACCAAGACAGGTTGCTTGAAAAGCACGTCCATGCTTACAAAATGTGTCTGAATTTATTGTATATACACGTAAAATTACATCATGTGGTGAGCAAAAAAACTTTGTTGTGTGTCCTATATCTTACAAGTAGCTGTGTGATACAACAAAAATTTTTATAATAATAATAATAATAATATAACAACAATAGTGTCTGTCAAGCTAGGTGTAGGACTCGGACTGCTCACAACAGAGCGCAAAGTCCTTTCTTCTTCTTATTGACTTTCTGCGGCTGTAGGACGGCTCGAATTGCCTCGTCAAACACCGTCTTCAGCCCCTTCTGTGTGAGGGCTGAGCACTCCAGGTACTTGACCGCCCCGATCTCCTTTTGCATTTGGAGCCCCTGCAATCAGTGGAATAATACACAAACACTGGTTAGTCACGACAGCCTCAGGGTGGTAATATGTATGTACCACAGTGTGTGTACATTATACAGTACAACTGCATGACAAGTGAATAGTAATTTAGTAGTACAGAGGAATTTATGCTAAAAGTGGCTAAAAGTGGTGCCGTGGACATATTTAGGTATGTGTTGAAAACCACAAGACAGGGACACAAGACAGAGGTATACAGGAAGGACACTTAGTGTAAAGGTTAGAGAGGTCTTTCAGAAAGCACCCTGAGATTCTGGCCATTCTATCGAGTACAAAGGCTGGGACACATTGGGTTATTTCCCTGTTCCCAGTTCTCCAGCAAGCGGTGTGTGTCATACCTAACCTAGTAATACCTGAGCGTGAGTGAGGTGTATATGTATACATACATACCATGGTGTAGGAGACTGGGCCGAGGCGTTTCTCCTTGAGCTTCTCAATGGTCTCTCTGTCGTCCCTCAAGTCGAGTTTGGTACCGACCAGGATGATGGGCGTGTTGGGACAGTGGTGGCTCACCTCTGGGAACCACTGAGTAGTAGTGGCAGTAGGAAGGAGGGAGGGGGGAGAGATACTGAAACTATGGATGGATATGCTATATTCCACACACAGCTATCCTTTCTCATGTACAATTGCTTCCCCATGTTACATGGAATAGTTCCCCTCCAACATCTAGTCAGCTAAAGGTTGAGTTTCCAGGAGATGTGTATTTCAGGATTGTACGTGAACCCTGTGCACTTCCCCCGAGCACCCAAACAGTATCCTGTTCCATTTCATAATGAAGGCTTTTGCAACACACACATGCTCCATACATGTAGAAGTCACGGCAGTCGTGGAAGGAAGGTGCATGCACTCACCTTTGCTCTGACGTTCTCAAATGAAGCAGGACTGACGAGAGAGAAGCATATTAAGAACACGTCCTGTTAGAAAGCAGGAGACTTTTCACACGAGCACATTACATAATGTCTAAGAATAGAGTTGTAACATACAGACTGGATTACTTATAAACTTTGCCTCACTGACTGAGGAGACCCGGGCGAAACAATCATTAACCACCGATAGTCGCCCCTTCAATTTCTATCAAATCATATTTCAGAAGGCTCCGTCTCATACATCAATGTGTTTGGCCTAGGTTTCTAATCCAGACGGCTAATTCTTCAGTGGTTATTGAAGTATACATTCTGTTTTGACCCCCCAGTCCACTGGTTACAACATGAGCATAATGTCCAGTGGTCATAAGACAAACAGGTTCCTATATTCATCAGGAGCTATGTAGTATTCACCGTTTGTGGGTAGGAGAGGGGCCTTAGCCTGTCGTAGTCCTCCTGACCTGCACACACACACACACACACACACACGTGATAATAACACAGTCATTACCCACAACACAGCTAGAAAGAAACACCTCAACTTCATCGTGAAGTAAGCCATCCTATAGGACCACAGGACTACAGCAAACTTCTACAGGGTGTGGGGAGCAGGTGTCGTATTTACAACCTGGCTCGAAAAAAGCGTTTTACACTCTTTATACAATCTAGTCACACGCAAGTATGTATGTATGCCTTTAAATCTTGGGGATTTCTGTTGCTAGCTACGGGCAGCATGAGCAGAGAGAGAGAGAGATAGGGGGATTACCTGCTGTATCCCAGAGTCCCAGGTTGATTGGCTTTCCATCCACCATCACATTAGCTGAGTAGTTGTCAAATCTGAGGAGAGAGGGAGGAGGGGGGGAGGGGGAGGGGGGGGGAGGGGGGAGGTGTTAGAGAGCAAGTGAATATTGGGGGACAGGATGTATAGCACCACTGACTCCCGTAAAACAATATGCCCAACAAGAAAACAGAAGCCCATCAAAGCAGGTAAAACTGCGCATACTGCAGAAGCACTATATTGGGTATCTACATATGTACTAACGTTACAGCATATTTTCACTGTGGACGCCCAGCACCATATCATTTGGCGTCAGAGTAAACACTGTAGCATACGAACACACCAATTCTTCACCGAGAGCACTGTGTACAGAGTACATTACAATATGCCTGCATACACATTTCCATAATAATAGAAGGCAGCATTAGTCTTCGAAGCCTAGTTCCATAATAGAACCCACTAATATACAGGGCTAACGTACACACATACACACACAAAACGAGCACAGCTCACGAGAATGAGTGGAATGCAATAATTGGTTTCATATGAGAACTGGGCACCAGGTTGCCATGGGAGGGCAGAGCTAACTACTTTCAAGCTGATTCACAGAGGAAACTGGGAGAGGAAGGGAAGGATGTGCATCCCACACATGTAAGGTTAGTAGTGGGACTCTAAGACATGTTGTACTACATCACCTGACAGCCACAGGCACACTGCACTGCATGTACATATATACATGTCCCTACCCTCACTAGCAGTCCAGATATGGGAGTGACTTAGAGTAGCTACTGGCCCGTATACAAATACACATGAATGTTGGCTTAGAGGCAGCAGAGAGGCAGATGATAAGGGGTAGGAGGAGTAGTAAACAGCCAGCCCCTTCCTCCCTGTCACGCTATCTACAGCTCCATATAGTTAGCAGGCACCCCCACGTGCTCCATCCTGCCATCCTGTGGGAGCGTTACATTATGTCCTACATTGTGCAATTCTCTCAGGCTCTGGATTGCTGTATGGGAATAGTACATCACGAGATGCCAGGCGAACACACGATACTCTGTTCGGGTTACTGTTTTTCCACAGCCCCAGTGACAATAGATTGCAAAACCATCCTCTTTTGAGGCCCAGCGCATGCAAAGAGGAAGGTTGAACAACTGTTCACAGTTCAGTTGCCTAGGACCTCACAGGTAGAGAATTTACACAACACTGTATATTAGCCATGTGTACTGGCCCATTCCTGCATATTTGCAGCTTTACACATGATAGGGGCCCACAATGTAACATCCACTACACACATAATGGACACCCACGGGATTGCTTCATGTAGTAGCTGAATGACTTCAAACCATGCCTGTCTCATTAGTAGATACACAGACCATTTTAGCTGGGCACTTGGCAGATCAAGGTCACCACTAGTCAAATGTCCAGGTCCCGCTATATAACTGGCAGTATATATACAACAGGACGGACATTAACACGGAGACATTGTGGCACACACAGACGGCACTGAAGATTCCTGGCTAGCTATGAGAACAGGCACAGAATGAAAGCTGGCAGGCAAAGTAGCAAAATAGCTACCAGTGTCTGCATAACTTGGACAAGAGGATAAACATAACAGACAGCGGTGGAGATATTTCCCAGAGAAATTTCAACACACATTGTGTTAGGCACACGAGTACAGAGTCCAGTGGATGTGGACTGGTGGAAGTGAGATCAGTATACCAGAGGAACACACACACACACACAAACACACAAACACACATAGTTTCTGTGTCTTATTAAGTGAAATTCACGCAAACCTGAGTAGTCACACATGCACTACTTCAAAGGAGAGTGAATGACAGAGAACACACAGTTTTCACCAGAGGAACGGAAACACAGAAAGATGTTTAGAACTTTGGGAAACGTACACTGTCGGGATGTACTCCCCAGGGAACGCATTGGTGGTGTAGCTGATGAGAAGACAGGTCTTACCCACAGCACTGCAGAGGAGAGAGATACAGTATTAAGTAAAATCGTTAGAGTTGTGATGGTTGAGTTCATATGTGAAACTTGGCGCAGAGGTAAAGACGGTATTCACAGGACAAAAGATCTTGCACAGAGGACGCGGTTCAACGAAACACGGTGCGGAACAAGGTCTCGGTGTGTGCTAACATCGTGAATCCTATGAGCCTTAATTACTACCACGCCCAACTTATTGGGATTACTACCACATAACCAGTGAAGTCTACGGGTTAGCCTTGATCTTCCTCATTCGGAGATAACCTTGCAAACTGTGGCCAAAGGCTGGCACCGGTAGACAAGCAGAGAAACTGCGCAATAGGCTTTTAAGAACAAGTCTCACCCACTATTCCCACCAAGGCACATAATTTCACTATCACTGTCGCTTCGATCCACTCTCTCCGACCGCAGTCAACCACAAAAAGATTTCTTCTACAAGACCGCACACACCATCGATCCATAGAACCTCACCGCGGTAAACAACTCCGCCCTGGACTACGGCGATATCACACGCGGCCACGCTCATGCTACCACCATTTAGACACACTGACATTATACTGGCAGGTGGCACTTACCCGTCGCCGACTACCACACACTTGATCGCTTGCATTTCGCTCCCCTTCTGTCGTATCTCACAGAGACTGAGGTTGGCTGTTCCTTACAAGACACTCCTCTGGATTGTCAGTGCACACCATAAATACCGGACGTGCGCTTTCCGTAAAAGGAATCTTCTAAAAATAGAAGAACTCTATCTTTATTGTGCGCTTGTGTGGTTCCGGTAGCGCTCCCTCCTCCAAATAAGCGCCCTTTCTTGAACGTTTCGCTCTCGATCTCTCCTTTCCCTGCGGTGTTCCCGGACTGCTGTCAGTCTATTTCGTATTCCTGCTACAACAGTATCTATTACACTACGTAGAATAAGATGGTAAGTAAGCATGTAGCCAGTCTGTGCATAATAGCGTTCTAAATATTGCGCACTTCAATGAGGAGTACCATTCTTTGCAGGCTGCTGATCGCTACAATATCCACAGCCAGTTGGAGCACTGTGAGTAATGATCCCTTTTCCACCCTGACTAGTGTAGTGCTTTCACAGCTCTGATTCAGTTTGTCAGCACCCCAGCCCTTTATTTATCTTGGATATGTATGTGGTGATGGGGTGTACTAAAGCATTTGGGCATATCTCTATTAAGCATACCAACAGGGGTGTGATGTGGTCTTGTTTATTGGCAGGACTCTTGTTGATTGCTTCTCTCATTTCACACTCACACAGTGCAGTCTAAATACGTGGGCACGGGACATGCAGACATCACCAAGTTGTGAGTTGGGGGCGTATGAAAGATGTGTGGGTGGGTGCAAGTTTTGTCCTTTGTGCTGATTATACCGAAAGCTTCACTTAAACAAAACACTCAGTATGTTTGTCCATACTGTGTCCTGTTTGCATTCACCATATGCCACCATAGGTTTTGGCCCCACTGTATATAGAGTCTTGTGGCATTAGTATCTTTATTCACAGGTGTGTGATTTATATGCAGTCACTCTAGAGCTAGAGGTCCCATATTTCAGAGCAGCAGGATGACTATTTCTGTCTAACCCTTAATTCACACCTCTACCCACATAGATAAGCATTGGGGAATGGTGCAACACCTAAGTTGTTGTTACTAGACAAGGTATTATTCCACAAGTTGATGGAGGGCACTTCCTGTTACTAAAATTAGAATACAGTCTCAGTTGAAGAAATTGCATACCACAGCATGTCTGGAAGGGTGTGAATTCATGTATATATGAATACCATAACAGAAATTGCGCTGAAGAATGTTCTATTTTTAGAAGCAAACATTGCAACACACACACGCACTACGTACCCATGCAGTGAATGGCTGGTGAATCAACACAGAGACAGTTTTGCATCCTACATGGGACGTCCCAATCTCCTCGAGTTCTTTGCTGTTGCAGAGAATGAGAGCAAGGCTAGAGTCAAGTTCAGCTTTCTTCAGGTTTGACTATGTTTTGACATAACCTAATGGAGTGAAACCTCCAACAAAGAACCACTCTATCAGGGACACTTGGTACTGCCCCATAATTATGCTACCTCCGAATAAAGGACTCTACCACTTTCAACTGGTTTCACATCACCTATGATTTTAGTGTCGGAATTGTATTTTCCCTGTAGAAAATGCTGCAGCCTTGTGGAGCTCCTCCAGAGAAAGACGAAGACGACTAGATAGTGTTCATCAAATTTTGTTCATCCTTGAAATCTCTTGTGCATGCGTGTAAAATATTTCATTCGCGTTCGTTGTGCAAGGACGCGAAAATTTACGTGCACGCACCAGCTCCCTCTACTGCTAGCGATGGAGGTAGCGGATGAAATAGAGGGTCAGTTTGATGATGCCGAAGAGGACGGCGTTACTGCAGACAAACGCAGCGGTGTGCCTTCCGACGAAGACAGCTTCAGCTCTGACGGGGAGGTGGGCGATAATTGGGGGTGCGACTGGGACGACGAGACGAGCGACTTTACGAAGCGCTACAATGCCACTCGAAGTGGACAGCCGCAGGCCAACAAGAACGTACCGTCCTCTGCAAAGCCAAGAGACCCCTCCGGCAACAGCTCCGCGGTGTTGGCTCGCCTGGAAAGCAAGGTCAACCTTGGAACCATAGAATTCCCTCTGACCAACGCGGCGTCCAGCAATATCCTAGGTGCCTCTAGGAAAGCCGAGGCAAGTCGGACCAGAAACAAAGACAAGTCGGACAGAGCCACTGTTGAGCAGGTCCTGGACCCGAGGACTCGCATGATACTCTTCAAGTTACTGAGCCGCGGGGCCATAGAGGAGATACGTGGCTGCGTGAGCACGGGGAAGGAGGCAAACGTTTACTACGCCACGGGACGCGACGGGACCGGCTGTGCCGTTAAAATTTACAAGACCTCGATCCTGGTCTTCAAAGACAGGGACAAGTATGTCACGGGAGAGTTTCGGTTCCGGCACGGCTACGCCAGGCACAACCCGAGGAAGATGGTACGTGTGTGGGCCGAGAAGGAAATGAGAAACCTGACGAGACTCCGCAACGCCGGGATCCCCTGCCCGCAGCCAGTCCTTCTCAAGAGCCATGTCCTCGTCATGTCTTTCCTGGGAGAGGACGGATGGCCCTCCCCGAAACTGAAAGACGCCCGTCTTAGTGAGGGGAAGGCACGAGAGCTGTACTACGAGTGTGTTCTCCACATCAGGAACATGTACCACAAGTGTCGGTTGGTCCATGCAGACCTCAGTGAGTACAACATGCTGGTCCACGAAGGCGGGCTCTACATCATTGACGTCTCGCAGTCAGTCGAGCACGATCACCCCAGAGCGCTCGAGTTCCTCCGGAAAGACTGCTGGAACGTGACGGAGTTTTTCCGTCGCAGAGGGGTCTGTGCCATGACCGTCAGAGAACTGTTTGACTTTGTGACGGATCTCTCGCTAGGAGATGACCGGGTGGAGGAATACCTGAGGAGAATGGAAGAGAAGACTGTGGAGAGAGAGCCTGGGAGCCAAGAGGCCGAGGACTTAGTCTCCGAGG